CACACTGTATCAACACAAACAACACTCGTGCACACACACTGTATCAACACAAAGCAACACTCGTGCACACACTGTATCAACACAAAGCAACACTCGTGCACACACACACTGTATCAACACAATGCAACACTCGTGCACACACTATATCAACACAAAGCAACACTCGTGCACACACACTGTATCAACACAAAGCAACACTCGTGCACACACACACTATCAACACAAAGCAACACTTGTGCACACACTGTATCAACACAAAGCAACACTCGTGCACACACACACTATATTAACACAAAGCAACACTTGTGCACACACACACTGTATCAACACAAAGCAGCACTCGTGCACACACACTATATCAACACAAAGCAACACTCGTGCACACACACTGTATCAACACAAAGCAACACTTGTGCACACACACACACTATATCAACACAAAGCAGCACTCGTGCACACACACTGTATCAACACAAAGCAACACTTGTGCACACACACACTATATCAACACAAAGCAACACTCGTGCACACACACTGTATCAACACAAAGCAACACTTGTGCACACACACACTGTATCAACACAAAGCAGCACTCGTGCACACACACACTATCAACACAAAGCAACACTTGTGCACACACACACTATATCAACACAAAGCAGCACTCGTGCACACACTGTATCAACCCAGAGCAACACTTGTGCACACACACTGTATCCACACAAAGCAGCACTAGTGCACACACACACTGTATCAACACAAAGCAACACTCGTGCACACACACTATATCAACACTCGTGCACACACACTGTATCAACACAAAGCAGCACTAGTGCACACACACTATCAACACAAAGCAGCACTCGTGCACACACACACTATCAACACAAAGCAACACTCGTGCACACACTATATCAACACAAAGCAACACTCGTGCACACACTATATCAAAACAAAGCAGCACATGTAGGACATGAAGGACTTGTAGGATATGAAGGACTTGTAGGACATGAAGGACTTGTAGGATATAAAGGACATAAAGGACATGTAGGACATGAAGTACATGAAGTACATTTAGGACATGAAGGACTTGTAGGATATAAAGGACATAAAGGACATGTAGGACATGAAGGACTTGTAGGATATAAAGGACATAAAGGACATGTAGGACATGAAGTACATGAAGTACATTTAGGACATGAAGGACTTGTAGGATA